GAAACTAAAATATTTTGCTTTTATTTCTCATTTTGTAACTCTTTTTTAAGCTAATGGAAGCCACATAGTTGGTACATTAATACTACAGGGTCATTTAAATAGGCTGAAAACGAGCCAACCCGCGAGCCGATTTTCGAGCCAACCCGCAAGCCTATTTTTGAGCTAACTCGCGAGCTATTTTTTCAAGCCAACCCACGAGCCATATTTTTTAGCCAACCCGCGAGCCAACCCTAACCCGACTCGGGTCGGGTCGGGTTGGGTTTTCTGGCTCTCTTTTTTTCGAGCCAACCCTAACCTAACTCGTTTTTTCGGGTTGAATGCGGGTTAGGTCGGGTCGGGCCGGGTTGGCCCATTTTGCCAACCCTACTAACAGATGTATGATTAAACTCAAATGAGAAAAACATGCTCTTACTTCGTAGGTTCTTAAACATTATAAGCCAAACCATGCCACATACATCCAGCCCAACCAATCAATCAATTGTTTTTTTACTAGGTCCATGTTAATCTTTTCCATTTAAAATAAAATAAAATTGAAGGGATATATTTCTTCTGTTCGGTATTCATTGTTTGTTCAAAAATAAGTATTTGGCATCGTCAAAGAAATTGAAATAAAAATTGTGCTGTATTAATGAGCGATATTTTTAACTTTTTGATTTTCTGTTGAGATTCAAGTAACAATATATGTAGGATTTAGAAGTAAGATACGCAATTTTCCAGTCTAAAAAATAATATTCACACGATCTAATAATACCATAACCTACGATGAGTTAAGAAACCTTAAACATAAATATGCGAGGTATATTCTGATTACATTGAAAAACAATATATATGCTATGAACAGAATGAAAATTGTAATGTACCGTTTTGAATTTATTTCGAATCAAACATACGTACTTTTTGTCGATAATGAAATTTGAAGGCTCTGCGTGTCTCTGTGTCTTTCCCGCTTGAAGGTACTAAGAGCAAGTAGTTATTTTTGTAATGTCAATGTTATTATCTGTATAGTTGAATTTGGTTAATAACATTGAGAAAAAGTATATTTATGTACAAGGGGAAATGGGAACAATGTATAAAGACTAAACTAAGAATGTCATGGTGTGAATTATGCAGAAGTTGATTGTGTTATGCATGACTAATATCAGCATGTACAAGGGGAAATGACATTGCTGGTGTGTTAATAGCAAATGGTGGCACTGGTGTTAACAGAACTTTAGCAGGTACTAAAAAGGACCCCGATAAAAATGTTAGGGACCATGCTGGTCCCCTTTGTTAAAACTTAAAACTGTTAGGGACCTACTGACCAACGTGTATGAGTCTCTCAAAACGACGTCGTTCCTCAACCCACGTGGCCTCCAGCATGTCACTTAACGTGACACGTCATCACCGTCATTGACTCCGTGAGTTTTGGATTGACAAAAGGACCAACGTGGGTCCTATTTCACTTTGTTGGAGACTATCTAACGAGTTTATTTCTGTGAGGGACTAATTTGGGCACCGAATTTTTTGTCAGGGACCAATTTGGATCTTTACTCTAGAATATATCTTCTAAATATGCAATGTATGTATATATGGAATAAGTGACTTGTTACCGTTGTGGTTTATATATCAAGTCAAGGTTTGATTTCCTAGGTATTATGTGTATGACAATATTATTAAAACCGGCTGGATCTAGTTAAGGTACTGAGTTAATGATTTAATCAGTGAATCACTAGTTGAATTGCATGAGCTAATAATTATATGCAAATTTATTTTTCAACCGAGGCGTTTAGATCTCCGCAAAATTGTTTTTTTTTTATTTTTTTTAATGAGTTTAGTTTACTTTCTAGTGAATTCGTTATTTATTTTTTAATTTCTTATTTTCAACTTCAAGTTGAGCGGACTCAATGAGAATTCACAAATCTCGCCACGTGGCGTAATCTGCATCACTTTTAACCCTTGTTATAATCTTCATCTTCAACTGAATTCACATATTTAAAGAAATTAAGTTACCGGAATCTGCACGCAATAATAACTTGAGAGCATGGACAATCGAGTTTGCTTATTGACAATTAGGTTTGCTCAAATAGACAGAAACAACATAACCACATGTTTGTATAGAATAATTAAAAGCTTTTTTTTTTTTTTTTTTTTTTTGTAAATTAAAAGCTTTTTCAACCTTAAACATATATATATATATATATATATATATATATATATATATATATATGAATTATTATGGTCATAATTGCTAACAAGGTGGATAGATACAGTCTTTTGGTTATTTTGCATTGCATCGAGCAACACCATATAATAACTATTGTCAGCTGTTAATGACTAGCGTTATGAGAGTACTCATTTGAATTGAAAAATAAAAATATTATTTTTGGAGTTATATGTTTTGCATGGTTGAGATCGCATCACGTGGTGCGATGAGTTCCCTAGGGTCATATTATAAATATGGTCATGTTTTATTCAGTGAAATAAAAATAAAATAAAAATTAGCTTTTGGTATTATTTAATTAATATTTTCGAGTTTGAGTCTTAATAATGCAACTATTTTAAAATTTAGTTGAAAGAGCTTTGTCACCCATGGAGTATTTACTTTTATTATTCCAGCTTAATCAAAGTTTTAATGTTAAAAACTAGATATATTGATAAATCAGTGCAAAAAAATATTTAAAAAGTCTAACATAAAACGAGTGATGTTCACTTAATAACTAGAGTTTTTTTGATTGAAATAGTTATTTTAGTATGATGATATTAGAATCAATGACCAAGTCATCACGAGTTTTATTTTTATTGATTTTATTCTTCTAATAAATATTTAATTATGAAATTTCTTTATATGGATAAATTCAATGGGTTTTTGTGTGAGAAAACATGTTAAGAAAATTTAATATAAAATTGGGGAAGGATAGTGTGACAACCAAGTTGTGTTACTACCAAGTGACTACCAATCAATCTCACCGTTAGATCGATTATGTTGATCCAACGGTTATATTTATTTCTATCTTTGTATGGTCATGATTTTCCATATTTAAAGTGAAAGCATTAAATATGAGAAATCATAACCATACAAATGTGAAAATAAATATAAAGTATTAAATTTGGAAAATCATGACCATACAAAGATGGAAATAAATATAACCGTTGGATCAACATAATCGCTCTAAAACCATACAAAGATGGAAATAAATATAACCGTTGGATCAACATAATCGCTCTAACGGTGAGATTGATTGGTAGTCACTTGGTAGTAACACAACTTGGTTGTCACAATATCCTTCTCCTATAAAATTATTAAAATAACTTTTACTCGATCGCTTGAGCTTTTAGAAAGGATAATTATTTAATAAAAATATGGATTTTATAAGAGTTATGTTGTAAGAAAAGTGATTGTGTAATGTTATAGAGATTCTTTTTGCGTGTCTTAGTTTTTTTTTGCTTCAAAAAGTGCGGTTCCCACAAAATGTTGTATATGTAAGAAACTTTTTTGTGTCATGTTAAATAATGAATGCAAACCCCTAAAAAGTATTTACTTTGTAGTTGAGAGTTTAACATTTCGCATAAGAAATCCCCCCCCTCTCTCCGGTGTGGATTACTAGTAGCAGTGTAGCACTAGTACTCTTTGTTGCTACTAGGGTTCAAATGGGTGTTCTTGGTGTGAATTGAAATAGATTATTAATCGATGTTAAACTGATTCAAACTGCGGTGATCGAATCAAAAAATTGATAATCGAATTAAAAAAAAATCGAAAAAAAAACTTGTATATTTTAATTGAATTGAATCGATTTTTGGTTTAGTTGGTGAAAATCGATCCAATTCAAACCAAATCAATCCAATGCATTGTGTATTTATTATTTTTAAAAGATGGTAACTTGAAATCTTGGATGCTATTAATTACAAACTATCTTATTTTAATTTTTTATGGTTTATTAATTTATTTTAACTCTTCATGAGTTTTAAGACATATTTTAATTTGAAGACTTGAATTTTTTAATAGTTTGTAATTCTGTATGGCTTTATTTTAATATGACTAGTGATTTGTATGGCTCAAATTTTTAAGCTTTTTGAAAAAACCGAAAACCAGTCCAATCCAAACTGAATAAAATTGGATTGGATTGGATCGGATCGAATTTTAAAAAGAAAATAAAAATCAAATGAATGATTAAAAAATCAAAATGAAGGGATTGAATCGGATAATTTTTGCTTCGAAACCGAACCAATCCAAATATCGAACAACCCTGGTTGGCGTTGCTACACTTATTAAAATAAAAAAAAAATAAAAAAAAAAACAAAAACATGACTCCCATGTCTATATAAAATTAACTTCTTTATTTTCAATGTCACGAATCCATTTATTTCTTAATTTAGTAAGAACGAGTGTATTACACAGGTATTGAAAATTTAGACTCAGTAAGAATTTCTTTAAGCCAAGCAAGTTCTATTTAAAAAACCACATGTTTAACCCTAAGGGGATGTTTGTTTCAAGTTTTTGAAGAGGATTACCGGTAATCCTTCTTTGGTAAATGTAATTATCACGTTTGGTAGAAGGAATAAATTACGATTCCCGGATATCCAAGGATTACCGGTAATTTGATTTATAAAGAAAAGTCACTATTCAGATTACCAAAAATAATATGGTAATTCGGAATACCAATCAGAATACCAAGCAAAAAGGAGAGCACAATAATAAATTTTGAGACAAAAATACCCCAATACACATAAAAATCTAGACTCAATCTATCAATTACAAAAGTAAAAATAGTTTGGGGTTATTTTTGTAAAATAACCTCATATTCCAAGTCATATTTCGTTCTAAACCAAATATGAAATCAGTAATTTTTACCCAATATTCCCAGTAATATTTTGGCGAACCAAACACCTCTTTCGTAAGATTCCAAGTAAACTCAATTTCTACTGAATTTCCATTAATCATGATTCCCGGTCACCAAAAAATTTCTCTTGTACCAAACACACCCTAAATGAAACATTAGACCCAAGCTAGCAATAACAACGATCAAATTTCCAATCAATAAAATACAAATTTTCATTGTCGTGTATAAGAAGAAGAAGAAAAAGAAATACAATTAAGGGAAGCAAGACACTCATCTTTATGGGAAGTATTCTCGCCAGTTCCTATACACAAGCCAAAACTCTTTACGGACAAATTCCACATAACATAAATCCTTCATACCATTACTAGCACATGCCATTCTGGTCCAACATCGACCATCCCAGGTACCAAAGTTTGCTTGATCATTACATAGAAGAATGGTTTTGTCCTGTTGCTATGGTTTGTCCTAACTTACATTCTTTTGAGTTGAACTTTAGCCTTCTCACTCTTTCATTGAAGTGCTCCTTTGGGAAGTAGTGGAAAATGAGCGAAAGTCTGAAGCTGCTAGCTCTCTATAGTCCTTGCGGATGGCCCAAAGGATCTCAGCACATCTCTTCATGTTAGGCCTATTTTGTCTACGAGGAGCCAAGCACTGTAAAGCTAGTTCAAGTATCTTTTCTAGGGCCAAACTATTTGCTGCAGTCTGATCCAGTCTTGGATCCAAGACTGAGATGGCATCTCCATCAATAAACCTCTTCATAGCCTGCACTTATAGCAAATAAGTTACATCAAAGAATCAATCCTTTTTACCTGCTAAAGTTTTGGACAAATTTGTACTGTGAAGGTGCAATCATGAAGAGTAGGTGCTAAACTTACTGAACAAAATGGAATATCATAAAAGACCTTAAAAAACCACTTCCCATTAAACCCTCATTAATGAAGGTACGAGTGAAGACAATCCTTATGTGCAGCTTTACCCTTACATATTTACAAAGAGACTGTTTTTCGAATTCGAACCAATAATCTTTCAGTCACAAAGGAGCAGTTTTACCACTACTTCCAGCTCGCCCTCTAGAAGACCTTGTTTTTAATAAATTTGGGAGAAACTGACTGAATAGCATGCTACAAAGCTCCTGCTTTGTGCGCTGGGCCTAGGGTAGGGAAGTGCTGGACTCATTGAGTCGATAGTAGGTAGCCTTGCCTTGCATTTGCAAGAGGCTGATTACATGATTCAAACATGTGACCTATATGAGTTATATGACAACAACACCAACCATGGTGCTAAGGATCCGCTTCGACTGAATAGCAAAACAAAAGAATAAAATGAAGGAAAACATTACACACCCATTTTGCTGTTATTCGCTCCCTGAGTTCAAATTTTGGTTCAATGGGACGTCTTCCTGTGACAAGTTCAACAAGCAACACGCCAAATGAATACACGTCACTCTTTTCAGTTAGTTGATAAGTTTTCAAGTATTCAGGATCCAAGTAGCCAGCTGTTCCTTTAACTTGGGTGGATACATGGGTCATGCCAGAGTCACTGTCAGGTGCTTGTCTAGCAAAACCAAAGTCCGCTACCTTAGCTCGAAAATTTTCGGCGAGGAGAATGTTGGAAGATTTTATGTCTCTATGAATGATAGGATGATCTACAAAGAAAATACAATACATAACAACTCTGAGATTCTTTTCAGCATTATATATGTCATCTGGGACAAACAACTATGCACTTTGCCATGATTTAGATGAGTTTGTTAGATCCTTGATGAAAAAACAGTTTTACCTATATACATATGAAGATAGGTGATAGCATGGGCCACATCAATTGCAATTTCTAGACGAGCAGCAAGCTCCAGAATGTTTCCATGAACGCCTGTAATAATCATTTGATCAAGTTGTAGGCACAAAAAGCCAATGCTTAAGGCAATGGCAAACCAGAAACACACAAAATAGTTAAATGACCACAGAAACTCACAATCTAAATGTTCTCTAAGGGTTCCATTTGAAACATACTCCACAACAACAATTCTTTCATCCTCTTGCTCTAAATATCCATAGAACTTGACCAAGTTCAAATGTTCAACCCTTGATAGTGTTTGGATCTCGCTCTGGAACTCCACACCCAAATGTTTCTCATACACACTCTGCAAAGCAAAAGGTAATAAACAAATAAATTCGAGGTGCTTGTTATGACTAACATTCTCATTCCACATCAATGGTGACACAACTGAGCAAAAGGATAGGCTAAAAAATCAATTTAAACAACCTTCTTAGCACGCTTTACCGCGACAACAGTTCCATCCATGAGTTTGGCCTTGTACACTGCCCCAAAACCACCTTGGCCAATCTTGAAAGAAGGTGAGAAGTTTCTTGTGACTTTGAAGATTTCCTCCATGGTGAACTTCACAATGCCAGGCTCTTTCCCTTGGATTGAGTTGTATGAACTGACATTGATACCTCGATTCGAGCCACGCCCTCTCTGACTACCAGCTCTTGAAGCATTTGATGCAACTAAAAAACAAATGGAAACGTTTATTCCACTCCATTTGATAAGCATGAAGATAAATCAAATCTACCTATAGCAGCACTTCAAAATCTACAATGTTTCAGATACATACATAATGAAGCTAAAAATTTAACAAAACAATACAAATTAGTAACCTAAATGCCATGCATTAAGGAAAAATTAAGCAATTCCTTTCTCTGAGAGAGAGTAATCTTTGTTCAAAAGTTAAGCTACACACACACATAAAACAAACAAATGGGGAAACACTAAAGCCGTGATTTTGGGAACTGGGACTTCACCAAATTCTCGACCCATAATTAAAAAAATAAACTTTTTTTCATTGCATGAGTTCAAATTCTAAGATCCGAAACAACAGAGAAGCACGCACACATTCTCCAAAAGAAACCCCATTTTTTTTTTCAACAGAGAGTAAAATAAAAGGAAGAGAATCAAACTACTACCAGAAGAAGATTTGAACACCTCGGAATCCACGAGGCTCTTCGAGCTGTTGGCTTCCGGCGGCGTGAAGCAAGCGGTGAACATTCCGGCGACCGTCCTGGCGGCGGCGGCAACGGTGCTCCGGCCGCCGGAGGAGGTTGACTGGTGGGATGTGCTGACCTCGGAAGAGGGGTAGCTGGGAGAGTAAGGAACGCGGTCCGGCATGCTCCGGTGGCCGGAGCTTGGTCGCCGGCGGCGGTGATTGGGGGATGTCATTTTTTGGAGAGAGAGAGAGAAAATTGGCGCGTCAACTGAAGTGAAGTAATAAAGAGCAACGACTTAGCGTTTATTAGAAATAAAAGGTTGCTGACGCTATCTTGCGCCGTTGAAGCTAAGCTATTCAATTTGCATCTCTCTTGAATTTCGGTGGTTGCCTCTTGCTTGCTTGTCTGTAATGACTATGATAGGAACCAGCAAGTACAATTTTTTTTCTTTTCTTTTTTTTTTAAATAAAATTATATGATAAAAGGAAAAATGTTTCTGCAGTTACTGCAGATAAGTTATCTGCATTTATTTCTAAAACGACGTCTATGAAAATCTTAAAAAATTATAAATATAAAGACTATTATAACCCTGAAATAAATTAAAATCACAAAAACACTATGATTTCCACCTCAAAATGACGTCGTATTGAGCTTACTGCATATAACTTATCCAGTAACCGCAGAAAAAGCGAACCTTAAACAAGTTTTTTTTTTTAAGAAGTTAATATATAAGAAAAATGATAATAAAAAAGTATTTCTTTTGAATGGTAAATCAAATTTTATTTTAGACTGGGATTTGGGTTCTTGGTCGATTTACTCTCATTAAAATTATTCACATTATTAATTGAAACAAATTGTTTTTATATCGATGTAATAATAAAAAAATTTACCTTCAATCTTTATTATTAATCTGCTAACTTTTAACAGTTTACATATTTAATAAATTAGAATAATTGAATATAAATAACATCAACAACCAACATTAGAATATAAGTTACATCCGATCACTATTTACCGAACAAAATTAAATCCAAAAAATGATTTTATGGTGTAATAATATGCAAATACATATTGTTTGTTTGTAGTTTGTCTGTTTTTGGTTTTTTTATGTATCTGACCCGGTTTTCCTATGAAAAGACAAAATATATTGATCTTGATTTCATTAAAATATATTGATCTTAATGTAAACAATCAATCATAGCTCCTTTTAAGCTAGCTGTAGGTTGAAAGAATTAATGGGCACAAGTTCGTGTTTTAGAGTGTAACTTCGAAAAGGTCCTCAGTGATTGTAACAATGTTTTGGACGTTTAGAAAAATGGCTGGAGATGTAGAAAAGCAACATTTCATTCATTGACTTGGAAAGCTGTGAAATTTTGATAAAAACAGATTTTGATGAGACTTTTTCAATGGGAGCCTAGACCGACTTTTGATGACATTGTTTGAGTTTCATTTACTTCTAGAATACCGACGAATAAAAAGGAACTTTTATATGTAAATTATAGATTTTACAATTGGCAAAGTTAATAAGAATTTTCCATCTTCAATACTTAGCGGCGTTTAGTAGAGGAGAAATTTTTTTTATTCAGAAATCTCTATTTTTAAAAATATGTAAAAACATTCGGTTTATGATAATATCCGAAAATTAAAAATTTAGAATCAATCACTATCAAAACCGAATTTATAAAAATAATAAAATAAAATGTGTACGTATGAAGAATGAAATATTATAAATTTTTTAAAACAATCCTTGAAGGTGGACTAAGTAGCAATACGAGTTTAGGATGGACAACCAGTTAAAAAAAGGCTGGATTTGAATTCTTGTGATGACTTTTGGAATTAGAATTGGATAATTGACATACTAGACTCAAAATTAATATTATATGTGTTTTGGCCATTTTCTCTCGCTCCAAAAATAATTAATATATTTTAATCGTTTTAATCCGATTCGAGATAGATCTAAAATTAAGACTTTAAATTTCTTTCAAATGTGATATTTAGGAGCATCGAATACATGCTTCCACCTCACCTGCTTAATTTGTATGCGTCAACTAGACTACTATCATTTGGTGATGGAATAAAAAATATATATTATAATACAAAATATAGTCATTATATGTAGCGCAACAGTCAACACCGAATTTAGTATATGCCCTTTCATATTATGACAAACAATACGTTAACAGTTGGACATACCATAAATCAAAAAGTACAACTATTGATCATGTTAATGTCCTTACAATTGCTCAATAAAAATGAACGTTTTCATAGTATATTTGATGGGTTTTATTAGTGTTATGTTACATGATTTAAGTGTTGTTTTCAACACACTCACAAAAATGGAGAGAGAAAGTGGAATGATGAAAGAGAAAGAAAAACATGTGGACCCCACCTCTTTAATGTGTGTGTAGGAAAGTGATGTTATATCATGTTACATGATAAACATAAAACCCATATTTGATTTAATTTTTAGAAAGTCCTGAATTATGATTATACTAAGTTTATTTCTTGTACCTTTTATCCAAAGCATAGTTTTAGAGTTTTAAATTGTAAATTAAACTTGTTATTAGTAGTTTCATAACCAAAATTTCTACATCGTTGATCAAAACTCTGTTTGATTTTCAAGTAGTTAACCTTTAATTTTCTAGGTTGTTGGTCGACAATGCAGGCATTACAAGTTCAATCGGTTTGAATCATTTCTCACCAGATTTTTGCATCATTATAAACTTAGAACCAACTTAAAACAATAGTCTAAAGAAAATATCGATTTTAAAAGGACACGGTTAGGGATACTGATAAAGCTGTTAAGTGATGGCAATCAATGATTTCATATTATTTGCTTGTGGCTTTTTTCAAATAAGAAAATCACTTTTTAATTTAAGATAAAATTAAAAGAATTTCAAGGTAATTAAGTAATGTTTTCGAAATAAAGTTAAAACCCAAAATATATAGTTAGTATTTTTCGCATAAATAAAAAAATAACTACTGAAGGAAGTTATAAAAAATTATATCCTAAAAATACTTTCTTCTAGAGTTGAAGTATCTGTTTGACTATGGCGTCGGCAGAGGATCAAAACTACTTTATCAATTATTTTTTTAGAAATAAAATAATGCATTAATGAACTATGGACCATACACAATAGAGTTTAAGAACATAAATGAGAAATATACTTATCCAATGTCTATATAAATATATAGATAAGTTTAACGGAAAACAAATTTGTAACATATGGATAAATATAATCTTAAATGAGGAAAGCCTCGTAACTTCATTTTTTTTTTCTTTAAAAAAAGTTAATATATGATTAGAATTCATTGCACTTATTTACAATTGTGTATCTCTCTCTAACTCATCGAATTAAAAAAAATCAACTACGCGTCTACCCAAAAAAATAAAAATAAAAATCAACTACGTATAACGGACAAAACTTTTTGCTTATTTTTTTTTCTTTGTTGTTGGCATTTTGTTGATGGCTCGAATGTTTAAGAGATCTTTTTATTATTATTTTTTTGGTAATGTCATTTTCTTGATGGACCATACAATGCTGTTGACATTTTCTTGATGGCTCGCATGATTAGTGATATTTATTTTTATTTTTTATACCGACTTTAATGATTCCTGCAGTCGAGTTATTTCTTGATATCTTGTAACCTCTATTTTTTTTTTAAATAAATCACAGGTATTTTTTATGAGAAGTAATTCTGTTCGGAACGGGTCCGAAATTAATATTTTAAATATTTTCTAAAAAAAATATTGAGAAAATAAACTTTAACTCTTTAAATTGACTATGTAATTATTGGGAGTCGCAACTTTGTCACAATGATATTTTTTTGAGTTGCACGTATTTTCAATTTAGAGATCATTGCCAGTGCCTTTGATTGGAATTTACTTAACTGTTTCCTGCAGGTAAGATGTTGATTATTATAGATTTAACAGATAATTAATATTTCTGCTAGGTTCGGTAATGTAGATTATCATGGCTCTAATTGTAGGTTAGGAAAAAGTAATACCTACCGTTCAAATTTGACGTAACCGCTGCACTAGATGCAAAAATCTTATTCAGGGACTTGACTCGCCTAAAAAAATAATTAGGATTATGGAATAAGAATATAGGTTTTATTAATCTCATGTTAAAGGAGGTAGTTATTTCATGTCATAGAGACAAACTAGTGGGCTCCACTACTTAAAAAATAAAAGAAAAGAAAAGAAAAAAGGTGGGACAGTCATCGAAGGGTGTGTAGGAGAGAAAACTTATGTCATGTGACATAAGAATAGTTTTTTCCTAAGAATATATATATATATATATATAAGAAAAAATATTTTTACAACAACTTTAGATAAGGTTATCTACAGTTATCCCAAAAATTACGTCGTTTTGATTAATGAAAGGTGTTTCTGTAACTTTAAGTAGATTAATGAAGAGTATTTCAGTAAAATATATATGATAAATAAATAAATAAAATTACGGAAACATCCTTAATTAATTCACCTAAAGTTACATAAACACCCTTCATTAATCAAAACAACGTAGTTTTTGGATAGTTGTAGATAACTTTATCTAAAGTGGCTGTAGAAATGTTTACCTTATATATATATATATATATATATATATATATATATATATATATGGGTTAGGATCATTTTACACCAGTGTAAGTTACACTCTCAATCTTGATCGTTGATCCTATTTATATCTAACAGCTCTAATTTTTTAGTAATGAGAGTCATTGGATACAAGTGGATCAATGCTCAAGATTGACTGTAAGTCTTCTAACTCTTACACTGGTGTAAGAATATATTGTTCCTATATATATATATATATATATTTATATATATATATAGGGCTTATCGTTTCTCAAGCTGTTTGAGATAATCTTATCTTCGACTACTAAATCATAATCGTACAAAGATGGATCAATGGTAATAAAGAAAGAGAGAAAAAAAGGGAATCATAATCATTCAAAGGTGAATCAATTGATATAAGGAAATAAATAAATAAAACGACGTAGTTTTGGGGTAGCCGGAGATAAACTTATCTCAAGCTGCTTGAGAAATGTTTTTCCCATATAGATATATATATATATATATATATATATATATATATATATATATATATATATATATATATGGGATATGATCCTTTCACAATAGTGTCAAACTAAAAATTTTGATACCAAATCTTAACCGTTGATTTCCGTCAATCTAACGTTTATAATTTATGGGATATGATCCTTTCACAATAGTGTCAAACTAAAAATTTTGGTACCAAATCTTAACCGTTGATTTCCGTCAATCTAACGTTTATAATTTATTGAGAATTAATTATTAAGTGTGACCCAATAAATTATAAATTCCTGAAATCAACGATTAAGATTTGGTGTCAAAAGATCCTCCTCTATATATATTGGATCTGGATCCTCTAATGTGAAAATTCACATGACCATGTAATGTGGGGAATCATAACCATACAAAGGTGAATCAATGGTAAAAAAGGAGGAGAGAGAAAAAATGATAAAATAGGTAGTTACGAAATCATAACCGTTGATTTACCTTTGTATGATTATGATCTTCCCACATGACTGTATCATGTTTTTTTGGCACATTAGAAGATCTATTTCCATATATATTAAGATTAGGGATAAACATTTCTACAGCCACTTTAGATAAGGTTATCTACATTTACCTAAAAATTATGTCGTTTTGACTAATGAAGGGTGTTTTCAGAATTTTAGATGAATTAATGAAGGGTGTTTCTGTAATTTTATTTATTTATTTATTATATATATTTTACTGAAACATCCTTCATTAATTCATTTAAAATTACAGAAACAACCTTCGTTAATCAAAACGACGTAATTTTTTGGTAGCTCTAGATAATCTTATCTAAAGTAGCTGTAAAAATATTATTTATTTATATATATATGGATTTTGCTCAAAGCGAAGCATTTGTTTAGCTCGTTAGTTCAAACATGACTACTGATAGCCAAACCAACACTTACAGTGCCCATCTTTGAAGCAAAGCATGGAATAATCCATGCAAGTACACTTGATGTAGATCATGGGTCTGATGTATCCTTTACAAATTCATACCATGATTTCTTTCCTTCATTGGCCTAAGCAACATTTTTAATGTAGCATACATTTCTAAAGCATTAGGGTGGGTCTTATCACCGGATACAAATGAATGAACCTGATTAGCAATCTCTATCCAGCTGCAACCTGGTACTTTTGCATCAGGTTTGTCACCCATCATTTTCCGCACTCTTTCCACATCATACCAATGTCTCTGAGAAGCATAGATGTTAGACATAAGGGCATAGTTTACAATCTTCTCTGGCTCTATGATGAAGAGCTTTTCTGCAGCCCATTTAGCCATTCCTATATTTGCATGGAGCTTGCAAGATCCAATAAATGCTCCTAACATATTTGATTCAGCTTCCATTGGCATTGACCTCAAGAATTCATAAGCCTCATTTATAAGGCCATATCTTCCAAGAAGGTCAATAAGGCAGGCATAATGCTCTGAATCAGGAACAATCTGATACACATTGATCATTAATTTGAAGTAGTGAAGTCCCATAGTCACAAGTCCGCAATGGGCACAAGCAGAAAGAACACCAAGAAAAGAAATTCGATCCGGTATTATGCCACAAGATAGCATCTTCTCAAACATCTTAGTTGCTTCTTTGGCAAGACCATGGAATGCATATGCATTTATCAATGAAGTCCACGTAATGAGATCAGGTTCTACAGTTGATCTGAAACATTTAAATGCACTAGTAATGCTACCGCACTTGGAGTATGCACTAATCAAAGAATTGGCAACACATAAAAATTCTTGAAACGATAATTTAACTGCAAAGGCATGAGCTTGCAGTGTTTCAGTAACGGAAGAAGCATAGCCAAATGAACTAATAGTGCTGGACATAGTCAGTTCATCAGGGAAAAACCCTTCCCCAAGCATCTCTCTCAGAAGCTTCATAACCTCATTCCCATCTCCATAATTCCCATATCCAACAATTATGGTATTCCATGCCACAACATTTCGAATCACCATCTTATCAAATACTCTGTGTGCATCAATTATATTTTCATTTTTGGCATACATGTTGATCAATGCACTAGCCACTAAAACATCTGAATCAAATGACTGTCTCAGAATAAGACTGTGAGCCTGCATTCCAAAATCATAATATTCCAAAGTATCACATATACTAAGAAGGCTGCTAAAAGTGAACTCATCCCCATTTGCACCATCCAATCGCATCAAGTTGAACATGCTAAAAGCCTCTTCTGGTAAACAATTCAAGGCATAGCAAGAAATCATCACATTCCACATAACCAAATCTCTACATTGAACAACATAAAAAACCCTCCTTGCATTCTCAACTAAACCACATCTTGCATATAAATCAACGAGAGCACTACCTACAAAACAATCCAAATCAAAACCCAGTTTCACTGTAAAACAATGCAACTGGATACCCGTGCAAATAGCATGAAACTGAGCACACACACCAATAAGACCATTAAAAGTTATATCATCTGGAACCACCATTTCCAACAACATCCTTTTAAAATAAGAAAAACAAAGCTGTGCATTGGAGTCATTTTCATTGCCACATCCAACAATACCATGAATTGCAATATTCCATGACACCACATTTCTGCAAGGCAATTCCTCAAACAGTTTCTCTGCATCTTCAGTTTCCTTACATTTAAGATAAACACTCAAAATCTGATTTTGTAAGGATAGCACATGACAAAATCCAAACTTTATCAAATGGGCATGTAACTGTTTTCCTTCAGGAAGAAAGGCCTTTTTGGCAGAGACTTTTAGAGCATTGGAACAAAACAAATGAACAGTGTTAGGGTCCCTGAAATGGGTTTCATCAGGGACATTCACAGAAGCTCTGAGTCTACTCAAGGAGCTCCATAAATGGGGTTGATGACAAGGGTTACCGAAGCATTGTGTGATAAATGAATAAGGTTTTGGAGGGAAATGGAACTGCTTTTTTAAATGGAATTTACAGAGCATAAGATTAGAGGCTAAAGACAAGTGAACTTAAAGAATTTGTATGTATCATGTGAATTAACTAATAAGGGATTATTTGAGGGTTTCGAGTTCGAATTTAATATAGTTGTGATAAAATTTGATAGAGAGAACTTGCTATGACTTGAATAATAGAGTAATTCATGATACAATGGATAATATAAAAAAATAATTTCATGTTAAAAATGTCAAGAAAATTAAAATAATTGGCATAAAAATATAAAACATGTGATATTTCATTGTTGGTTTGTCACTACTATGTTAGGTTACTCTACAATCATGCAATAATTGAAGAGGGAAGGCCAAACAGAACCATTCATTGAATATTATTATTATTAAAATTTCCGATTTCAGCATTTAATTTCCGATTTTGACATTTTTTTAAATATGAGAAATTGAATTGTAAAAACATATTAATCATTCAAAAACAATAGCTGTTTAAACTTTAAACCACTAAAATTTTAATTCTTTTCATGTCTAAAAAATCCATTTCTTTTGCCTGTGGTTTATTGTCTACGTCATTGTAAAATTAAAATTTGAATCCTTTTTATTCTTATTCTTACTATTATTACTATTAATATTGTATTAATTTTTATTATAATACAATAAATTATATTTTTTTACCCTAAAGGTATTATTATTGTAAAGAACCTTGGATACACCACCCCAAAAGCTAGGTTAAAGGGTGGGAGTGCTCAAAGCCTTATAAACTCCACATTAGTTACTCATACAACCAATGTGAGACTATATATCTCAACAATTTTAAACATTTAAATAAATTTTTTAGGTCCAATTAATCCTTAAAAAAATCATACATCTAGTGAATAAATTAAACTTTAAACTTTTATATTTATAAAGCCACTAGGATTGAATCCTTTTTATTCTTATTCTTATTATTATTAATATTAATATTGCATTAATTTTTATTACAATACAATAAATTATATTTTTTTAACCTAAAGGTATTATTATAAACATTTAAATAATTTTTTTTAGGTCGAATTAATCCTTAAAAAAATCATACATCTAGTGAATAAATTAAACTTTAAAATTTTATATTTATAAAGTCACTGACATTGGTTTAGTAGTGAGAAATTTGGATAAATTATATTAAATTATATGTTCAATTTCCACTTATATCCAAAATCAGAAAAAATTATATTTATGTAACAAATCAGACCAATTTGAGGTAAGACTGGACTTGTTTACTCAATAGGTGAGAATTCGTTGAGTTAGGTGATCCAATAGCAAGCATGAATAAAGAAAGTTGATAAGAAAAAATTTATTAAGTTATCCAAAAACTTGAATTTCCATAATTCATCCCGAGAGAAAATGAATGTTTGATACCCTTAGAATCCTACTGAGTGCTGTGTTTGTTTATTATATATGATTGTGTGGATAATCTGTTTTATATTCTTTAATATTGTGTGTGGTTTGTTTAGTATGAGCACTGTTTTATATTAATTAATATCATTCTGTTGGTTGTACCAAAATTTATCATCCTGTTGATAAGAACATGGATCTACACTCATCCAACACACCTTTATCAAATCAAAGCCTACAGAATTATTTGATATTATTCTATATCGGCAAATAATTTTAAAAACTAAGATGTTATTTCAGTCCCTCCATTAAGTTTACTATATGCATTAATTTATTTTTTGACAGACTAAATTATTAAAAATTTAAAATTTCAGAAATCAAATTTATAATATCAAGTTAAAAAAATCATACACTTAAAAAAAGGTTTGCTCGAATTCCTGCACAGACACACATATATATTCGAATAAGAGCTAGTTATTTGAATTTAAAGCAATAAACATTTTGTTATCATGTGATGATAAACATAGTTCTTCTTCTTTTTTGGTAATGATTGCAAAATATCTTGCAAAAGGAATAATTGTTAATCTAACAAAAGAAGAAATATTATTTTGTGGTGAAATAATACAAGAATTAAGATTCATATTTCTTTTTTTTTCTTTTTTCTCTGAGATTAAAAAATGGCTGCATTTGAAGAAAAAAAAGGTAGGATGTGCACAGAATAGGATGGATTTGAATTATTTTATTTTATGCTTTTATAATAAAAATTATGGGTTTAGGATCACTGAAATAAAATTATTTCATATACATATATAAAAACATGTAAAATTTATATAGAGCTTTGTGAGGAAAAGAAAGTAAAAAAGAAAATATAAATTTTATATACTTTTATATATACATAAAATAATTTTATCTTTGTCTATCAAAAAAAAAAAATTATCTTTTATAACATAATAAACATTAAATTCAAAAATTACATTAAAATGGGACATGTTGCACACAGTTGTGTTAAGGTGTATGTACACTTTGTTGAGCAGCCCCTATAAGGCTAAAGTTATTTGAGTTTGACTTTTGTGTTGTACTTGTAATTGTAACACTCCCAAAACTCAACATAGGACAAAGCTACTTATGAAAGAGAAACGAGTGGAGCGCATACACTATGGACAACAACCCACCAACAACAACAGTAACAACAAAAAAGTAACCAACGTAATACATAGATTCAAAGGTTTCACGCTTCACAAATTCACAACCCCCTCAAACCCTTTTCGTTTAACTCAATTCTCATCTCTTCCTTCCATTAAAGGTATCTTTTTTATGGACTGTAATCCTTTTCTACCTTAAAGGTTAGGGTTTATGCTATGGATTTTGATTCATATGGTTTTTTATGTTCGGCCCTTTTTTTGGTTTGTCTAATCGGTTCTTGTTTTTGGTCCTTTGGGTATTACTAGTCAAGGTTTTTGCTATGTTTTGTTGTGTCTTGTTCTTGTGATGAATCTGGGTTGGTCTGGGTTTCTGGTTTGATTGCTGCTTTCCTTTCTTTTTTTTTCTTTTTATTATGTGAATTGTTTGTTATATGTAAAGTTTGTATCTTTTGTTTTGTTGTTGAAATTTATATGCTAATTGTAATTTGGGATATTGTGATAAAGATGATGGTGATGTGGATGTTGATGCATGCTAATTGTAGTAATCTGTAAGAGGGATGATCATGAATTAATTTGAAATATGAACATGAGGCTGTGAGTTAAGGCATTTGTATCTTTTGCAACTGTGTATTCTATCATCTAAAAGACTATATGCAATTTGTTATTATGTTATTTTATTTCTCAAAATGAAGGGCTTGGCTGCCATAACTGTGTAATTAACTATTACACTTTGTGTTTGTTTGCATAATTTCAAGTTGTCAATTGATGTCATGACTTTGTGGGATATAATCTTGTTTCTAATGTGAAATATATTCGTAAATACTCTTTTTATGGACTTGTAGTGGCAGTAGCGGAATAGACACATAAAGTATGATAGCCTCCGATCCTCTTTCGATCCCAAATAACTGAAGAGGATGAGAATATCACTGGTAGTTTTGATTAAATAACAGAAACGAATTGCTGGAAAATGGGAGGTTGCTGTTGTTCTGCCAGAAAACCTCACCTGCATGGAACACCAGTGTATTACTATGTTAGTAATGTTCTATCCTCTCTTACCTGATTTGTAGCTTATAAGCATCTATCCAGTAATCTTACTATAAGTTTATGCCATGAACCCTTTTACCATTCTGAATGAAGATAGATTTATGATGGAAAACAGTGCATATATTGATTCTAAGTGATGCTTCTCATCTCATCTATGTTGTATTTTCCTTTAGTTTTCTTCCATCTGTTAATTCACGAGTCCTTTATGACCCCAGAAAACAAAAAAGGTAATAAAAGCCCTGCTTTTAAGAAACCAAAAGGAAATCATGGAAGAGCTCCAAACTCAGTTATAATTTATTTCCTCACTGTTTTTGTTAATAAGTATCATCCGTGGAAGCTCACATATATTCTGATGCTATACCAAATTGCAAAACACTTTTATGGTCCCTGCATCAAATAATAACAAACAGGTCAGCCAAGAATACTTACACTTGTTTCCCATCTTTAATGAAAATCTTTGTTTGCTGATTTACTTAAAACAAAAATCATTAGCTATCAATCACTCCATTAAACATGCTCACAAACTCCAAAAAAAAAAAATGCCCATAAAGACAAGATTTAAATTTAATTATGAAAAGTATTGAACATTGAAGGTTCATTCAGTTTGGGGTTTTATGTTGTAAGTTGTCCTCCAAGTAGGAATCAGTTTACATAATAAAGTCAAGGGAAACCAAAGTCACTGCAATGGTTCAAGTTCAATCAAGTAAATCTGATACTCCTGCAATCTCAGTTTTTACTTCCAAGCAGCCTCACTCGTCTATGCTTGAAGTCATTGTCATTAGTGATGTTTGAGTGAAGAACTATTTGTTAAAGGAAAGTTCAAACTATTCATAGTCAAGTGAATCTGTTACTCGTGCAATCTTGGTTTTTACTTCCAAATATATGCTTGGAGTCATTGTCATTAGTAATGTTTGAGTGAAGAACTACTTGTTAAAGGAAAGTTCAAACTATTTCATTGTCAACTTGCTCTTAAAAGCCCTCAAAATGGTTGCCATTGGGGACCAACCATGTAAACCAGATGTAACCTCTGCAATATTTCATTTACAAAAATCATTATTTTCATGTTATAGATGAAAGGGCTTTGAGATTTCAAACTGAACACTGTAATCCTAACTTGAATTTGGAATGCCATGAAGTGCTTATTGAATGCACTGTTGGAAATAAAAAAGGGGAAAACCCCAGTGTACAAGGCTCCTCAGCTTGCGAGGTAGGGATGAGAGTCAATTGTATGCAGCTATACCTTTACATTTCTTTTGCAAAGAGGCTATTTACCACACTCGAATCCATGACATCCCGGTCACGAGGAGCAACCTTAGCGTTGCTCCAAATCTACTATAGCAAATAAAAAGATTTCCAAAATTTTATATTTAAGTTATTCATCAAATCCTTAAAAAAAAAATTGTTTTTGTCCAGCAAATGCCACAGTGGAGCTGTGATAAATAACATACTATTTTTCAACAGAAAACAATACTTTTAGCATTGTTACATTAAGGTTCATGTAAGGTTTGTGATTATGATTAACTTTCTTAAATGCAGGCATGCATTAAAATTGCTGCCCGATTTTCTATGGACTCTTCACCAGTTCTATTTTCATTTTCCTTTGTTTTTTGTATATTTTCTCATAGATCAGTGAAATGAAAAATACTTATTAAATTTTACTAAATAGATGCTGACTCCAGGAAGGAAGGATCTAGAAAGATAGTCCTTGGAGTTATCACTTAATTGAAAGATCAGAAAGTTTCCTGAGTAGTCATTGCTTGAAGGGATGAGAGGGATGGAAAAAAATTAAGCTATGTGGATTTATTTCTTATTTTAAGACCGTAGGACTTCCTCTGACATAATATCAGATTCCTTGCAAAAATAAGTAGAGCTGGTGAATTATATAGTTCTTAGTGAATCAAGTTACACAATTGATAGAAAATTTAAATTCATCATTCATGCATGCTTGAATGAATTTTGGAAAGCTGCAACTTAAGTGAAATGTTGGGAAGTTGTGAGAGGATGAAAATTAATGGAAGATAATCAAAGCTCAAAATGAATGTTTTCTCCCCATTTTTTTTTTTTTGTTTAAATGATTTAATTTTATTGTTTGTTTTAGTTTCTTACAAAGTTTTGGTTGATAAATGGCAAGAAACTGAAATAAAATATGTAACTGCCTTCATCTTGTAATTTCAACACTTGGACTAGTCTTTTGTTTGTAGTATGTACAAGGGAGCAGCTTCGTTGTCATATTGCAATTTGCAAAGATTTCTTATGAGCTTAAACAAATTGTTATAGATGGATTCTATACAATTTATAACACTTTCCATAAAACCTATGCTTTCTTCTCTCTCTTACCATAAGTAAAGAGAAACTCTGCAGCAATCTCCCAATGCATGTATGACCGGTCCCCTTGGGGATGACAGATGAGAAGGTGGCTGAGTTGTAGTGTAACATGATTGGTTTCATTATTCTCTTCGAAATTAAGTGCTTCTGGAAATAATCTGTCTACTAGTTTATTGTTTTAGATGATGGTTATTTTGTAATGAACATATGAAATCTGAAAAACTCTTGTTTTTCAGTGCCCACCAACTTTAGAAGAGCGTGAGTCGTTAACCTCTAATGATGGCACGGCTGCTTCACTCACTGCTGGATTGCTTGTAAGCTTGAACCTGGAAACATCCACACCTGATACTTACCAGCCCCCTCCTGCACCTTTGCCATATGATATGGTCCTTGGATGCCCAGCTTCAACAGATTCTGATTCAGGCAGAGAAACAGTTAGTGGTAGTAGTTTTGAAACTTTAATTACGTGTGATGATCTTGAAGAATCTGAGTGCAAAGCTCAAGCTAATTCTTCACCTATATCTCCAAGGAAGTCAGAACTGCCAAAATCAAATGAATCTCATGCATTAGTGACCGAAGAAGAGGACGTCTGTCCAATATGTCTTGAAGGTGAGTATAAGTTATCTTTTAAAGTTAGATTTTCCATGTTTCAGTTGAGGGATCAAAACTAATAAGTTCTGGCTCTCTCTGGAAACTATCTTTTGAAAAAAAAATATATATTTTTCTTTAATGCAGAATATGATGTTGAGAATCCTAAAACTCTGACGAAATGCGAGCATCACTTTCATCTGTCTTGCATTCTTGAGTGGATGGAAAGAAGTGACTCCTGTCCTATATGTGATCAGGTTTGGCTTTTTGCATCAATTCCTTATTAACTATAACATGAAAAGAGGGTGGTTGTTGGCTTCTTTTCTTGGTAAATGAACTCCAGCAGTTCCTGCTAGATGTGGTTTATTGGTTATTGTTGATCATGAAATACAAACTGTCTGAGCTTTTTTTGTCTTGATTACCAATTATGTTGAGCTTTAGTGAAATACTATTTTTCCTCTAATGTTACAGGAGATGATATTTGACCAGACACTGAACTAGTTTGGTTGTTTCAAAAGAAAAGCTTGCTAAATGAGTGAAGGATATAAAACTTATTGTTTGATAACTGGTTAGATGATGGTACAGATTCATTTTCAAGTCATCGTTCATTTAAAAAGTCATTGTTTTAGTGGACTCATTTCATTGGGGATACAATCTGTGAGGAGAAGAATGAGGAGATTTTGACAGAATGCTGCACCACATTGCATGTCTCTTTGACTGCAATTCCTCAGGTTGGAATTTACCTATTTTTAGTGAAAGAATACAGCATATCTCAAGATGAAGAAATTCATGTTCAGAGAATGGCTCTTTCTTTTTTTTAAGTATTGCTTGGCTGCTCTCCATTTTCTTGTACAAATTTCTCAATATTTATTTGTTTGTCTATGTAATTTTCTTTGTGGGGAAAAAATGTATACTGGTCTTGTAAATCAAGTCTGCATTTACATTTTGATTACATTTTCAATGTAAATATTCTGGTGGATACTGGGGATCCCATCTTTTGTTGTATGGCCAATGAGTAATGACCAAGTATACCTTAAACCCCATTCTTTTTTATTAAATTTTCTTCTGGCTGGTGCCAAAAGGGTTGATTGTGAACATTGTTAATCAATGTATTGTAAATTCTGCTGGTTTTCTGTTTGATTGTGATCTCAATTTGTTGTTTAGCATGTGGTGGTAGTGGGAAGCTGTAAAGTGGAAGCAAGAGTTAAACATTCTAATTGTTCCTGTTGTCTTTCTGTGTGCATGTGTGTATATAGTTGGCTTAATCTAATCACCAAAACTGCACGTGAGTTGTGAGTTAAACCAATAGCAAAATCAGTTTAACGTATCCAATAGCACAATTAACACTTGCCCTACCTTATTTTCTCAACTCAAATATTGAATGTATCAAATCAAAGCTATAATACTACATTTAATTTCGTTTTCTTTTTTTTCCTTTACTGTACAAAATAATTAAATCAAATTGTATTTTTTTTAATCAATTTTGAGAACGGAATTGATTTGTTTTAGGGTTAAGCGTTTTTCCAGTGACCGAAGATAACTTATATCCAGTAAGTCAAAAACAATGTTGTTTTGGGGTTGGGAAAAATATATTTTTGAAATTCTAATTTATTTCAGAATTATATTAGTTTTTATGATTTTAATTTTTTAATTTTTCAATCTAAAAATGATATCGTTTTAGACTCACCAAAGATAATTTTATTTTCGGGAAGTGGAGAAATACTTTTCCCTTTGTTTTTTAACTCAAACATACAAAATTGATTCAAAACCGATTCAAAATCAATTCAGAATTGATTTGCATACACAAAGTGATTTGGATTTAGTTATAAATCATAAATGACATTAGATCCAAGAATCGGTTCAAAAAAAATAAAATTAATTTGAATATAATAAAACATTCTGGTTCTTTGAGCCCTTAATAATAATAAAAAAACCACTTTAAATAGAAGATATTAATGTTGTTAAAATCGAGATCTTAAGTAAAATCGGAAGGGATTTAAAAAATCGTAAAACGTAAAATCGTAAAGTAAAAAAATCGTAAAAACATAAAAGCGTTTGAAATATTAGTAAAATCGTTTTGACGAAAAAAAATCATAAAAACATAAAATCGTAGTGATAAATCGAGATTTTAACAACAATGGAAGATATCACCTTTACCCTTAATTTTTTTTTTTTTTTGGAATACTTTACCCTTAAATTATTTGTCATGGAATGATAGAAACGTTTTCCTTCATTGCATGTTTTCTACTGTTGACTTCCCTACTCTGCCTACCTTGGTTGACTATCATAACATATTAAATAAGAAAATTGTTCTAAACAGAATTGTGATGTATAAAAGCAAGACTAAATAATCCCTCATTGGAGTAATAAACATTAGCTACTAGCGTTGTAGACTCTAGCACACGAATAAATCTTTATCAGTATTCCTTACAAATGATACTCATATCACACTAATCATAAAGAAATAGATAGAATAAATGCAATTAAATAAAGTACAGTAAAAAAAAAGTGGAAGGAATAGATAGAATAAATGCAATTAAAAAAAGTACAGTAAAAGAGTGGATAAAATAAATGTAATTAGGTGAACTATATTTTTTATTTAACTTTGGTAAGTGAATTTTTCCGGAGATATGATGACATCTCTTTGATTGGTTAAGAAAAAAAGGTAAAGATAGAGAGTAGCAATGTCAAGGATAAACCTCATGATGATGTTTTGATCATAAAATTATAATTGATTAATAAGCATGCCAAATAACAGCAAAGTTTTCTTCTTGTGAGTAGAGATTATTATCATTGAAACCAATTTTGCTCAAAACAATGTGGGGGCAAAACTTTGGAAAAAAATGCTGAGTGAAATCCAAAGTCATTGCTTAATCCAACCTTTCAACTATTGGCAAAGCTGGAATGAGCAGCCATAAGACATTAATATTCCTTTGTAAGACTTTACCCTACAAGCACATTCCATAGCCAGCAAATATGAGAAAACAAAATAGTCAAAGTCAAAATCTGAATTCGTTGACTTCTTTACCATAAGGACTATAATCTAAGAATGGCCTTCTGGAGTTGTTGGTTAAGTTGGACTTCTCGGGCTTGAACTTAGATGCATACTATAATGCACGGACACGGGACACGACACGTCGATACGTTAATTCTAAAAAATATCATATTTGAACACGTTGGGATATGTTTTGATATTAAATAAAATTTTTAATATATATAATATGATTTATATTTAATACATATAAGAGTCCATAATAAGTCATATAATCAATTAAATATTTAAATTTCATAACATAAATATAAATATAAATAATTTTTCGTAGTTTGTTAATTTTTAATGTCAAATTTTATAACAGAAAAAAATTAATTTATAAATTATTTCTTTTATATTTAGTTAACAAAATAAAATTAAGATTTAAAAAAATAAAAAAAATAAAAAAACGTGTCCGAGCGTGTCCCCAAATGTTGACCGCGTGTCCGAGCGTGTCGAAGCGTGTCCGTGTCGAACACGTATCCGACACGTAAATTTCAAAAAAATTCACGTGTCCATGTAAGGGAGGATGCATACACCAAGTGGAAATTGCAAATAAAATTAATTTTATAAATGTATTATAATTGAATTTTATACTATGATACTTTAACGTACATTAATATTTTATAACACTATATTATAATTAAATTAAAATATTAATACAAATCATGATAAACACTTAATGTAATAAAGTTTATCATATATTTTTGTAAAAGTTAGTACAAAAATATACACCTAAAATTGGCTTAGAAGTGTTTATGTGTGCTTGCATGCGTTGTTTTGGACCTTTAAAGCTTATTTTTATTTTGAATAGTAATATCATAATTTTATATTTTTATTTTAATTATTTCTTGTTTTAGGCATATATTACTTTTTATTGTTTTGTAATCAACTATTTATTTCTTTTAGGAGTCTTTAATGTTGACATCATATAAAAAGGTGTCTAAGACTCCATTGTTGAATTTTAAATATTGATTATTATTTTTGAGAGCCAAGATTCTCCTTATCAATTTCAAATTCGTTTGTTCAACCACTTTTTTTTTACGCATTTGGCATTATTTAACTTTTTGGTACAGAAAATATAATTTACAATTGATTATAGATTTTATTCAAATTAAAAATAAGTAAATTTTACATTATTTTAAAATTATTACGAAAGTATTCGTTAACAATTTTATTAACATAAAATTTGTAACAGTAAAAACAAAACAAGGGTTTAATATCCCTCATGTTAAAAAGAGATAAAATTATCTCTTATATATACATAAAAGTGTATGAAAATTATATTTTTTTTTCTCTTTTTTACATGGAATCATATGGGTTTCACACACTTGATGTGTATAGGAGATAATTTTATCTTCGTATAATATGAGAATATCAAACTCAACAAAACAATAAGACTAATAGGATTTTAAACAATTCCAATATATTAAGTTATAATTATTTCAATTGAAATAAAAATAATTTATTTGATAAATTAAAAATTTATACAATATAGTACAACTGCAAGATTTGGAAAGCTCCATAGGCTCCAGCCTACAAGATTTGGAGAACAAGGCAAGTTGTGTTGTGGGGTTGATTTTTTTTTTTTTTTTTGTAAATTGTTGTGGGGTTCATTCATATGCCTGTTTGGATCCTCTTATTTTTAAGCTAGAAGCTACTTATAAGCTAAAGCTAAAAAAAAGAGCTTAAAAAAAGAAGCTAAAAGCTGTTTGAAAATTATATAAAAGTTTTAGCTTAAAAATGACTTAAAATCACATATTTCAAGAAAATTATCTCTCTCTATCTTTATCACTCTTCATTAAAAAAAAACACACAATTCAAGAAAAACAGATAAGAGATTAAAAAAAGCTCCTCCTAGGAGCTTTTAGTTTTCAGCTTTTTTCTTCATTATAAAAAAAAGAGCTTTTCGTTATAAGAGCTTTTCCCAAAACCTGTTTGGCCTAGCTTATACTTATAAGGAGCTTCTAGCTTTAAAAAAAGAGGATCCAAACACGCACTAAAAATGGCAAAATGCTCTCGGCTCGGCAGGCCAACCTGTCCTACTTGCTAAACGGGATGTGATAGGCTGAGTTTTTCAATCCATCTGAAAAGTGAAACGGGGCGAGCTCATTTTTTGACGGGTTAATAGCGGGCATAGGCAGGTCAGTGTAAAATAGGCTCGAGCTGACGGGTCAACCCGCCCAACCCGCCAAATGGGGCGGGACGGGCTGGGCTGAGTTTTTCAGCCCACTTTCAAAAGCGGGACGGGCTGACTTATTTTTTAGCGAGTTAATAACGGAATAGGACGAGGTGGAGCGGGACGGGACGAGGCGGGCTACCCACTTTGCCATCTTTAAGTGTAACACTGTCATATTCTTCCAAATTTACATGTGCAATTGCACCAAATAATGCAGAATAAGTCACAAGAGGTTTTTGAGCCCAACAATCAGTGAAGAAAGGTTAAAATTCAGATATTTGATTTAATGCATATTGCATCCAATTAGTTACTGACGCTTGTTTGGCCTAGTTGTTCTTGGTTTGATTTAGCGTGCTTGTCAATTCTGTCACTTGTTGCTTTCACAGGTTTCAGTGGTCCCTTTTCTCTTATTTTATTTTTTATTATAAATAAATGGGAAAGGATATTTAGTTTTCCTAGAAGGAATATCATTTTTTTTCTTCAAAAGCCTTATTTTAATTTTATTTTATTTTATTTCCTGCGTTAAAAACAGATAACTTGATGAGTGGATTTGAGAACACTTGTCTGCCACCACCACACCATTTCACTCTCTCCAACTTGTCTTTTCCCAAAATAACTCTTTTTTCTTTGTTTTCCTTCACTCCTTGCGTTTCTTCTTTGGTTTTTAATCCAATCATGTTAATGTTATTAAAATACATACATGCAACTTCTCAAGTTTGATTATACGGGCAGGAAATCACTGTTTAAACCAAACAGTCACTAAATTTTAATTTTTAATCCAATCATGTAACTCATGACATACCATGCAAATTGTTTTCCATTTCTTTCATTTTTTTTATATTGATTCTAATTAACTCTTTGAAATAAATCGGTCATTTGAATATTCTCATAAATTTTAATTTTTTGAATCAGTTATAGGACTAATTGCAAATTGAGATTTAGTTGTATTTGATGGAAATTAAATATAATTTTTTATCATCTTCTAAGCTTATATTGTCAAGTGAGGTATATTTATTGGTTCTTTGATGCAATTTAAAAAACTCTGATATATGTATTATTCCAAACATTATGAGGTAAATAAAGTATTATTCTTTTAAGGATATGTATAAAGGAAATTGATTTTCTCATTAATATAAAATAAAATAATTTTACTATAAACACATTTGAAGAGAGAGAAAAAATATAAATAAATCTCATACATTGATATATATATATATATATATATATATATATATATATATATAAATTGTTTTGTTTCATGTTAAATTGAGAAAGCAATTGCCTATGTATAAACCAACAAATCATTCCATGTCTATATCAGCATTAATTGTAGCTGTTAATTTTGTTTCCAAACATTTCTTTTTGTTTGGTAAGATTCTCTTTCAACCGAGCAAGAAACTTTATCTCATATACAAATTATTTATATTATTTCAAATTATTCTATGTCAACCAGTTAAAGGATTCGCTTTAAAAAAGTTGTTTGAATGAAATCATCCCAATTATATATTAAACTAAAAGAGATATTATATCAAGTCACTAAAAATAACTTAACCATCCGAGTCATCCAAAATGAAAGTACTCGTTATCAGGAAACAGCTAAATTGTTAATTAAGATTTATGAGTTGTCAATCAAGGCAAAAATCAATAGTTTTCTCTTTCAAGAAATAAAAGAGACTTTATAATCTTCTTCCAAACGCCCCCTAATCTTCTTATATGTTATGTGTCATGATTAGCGAACTGGTTATCTCATTGCATGATACTATAATGGGCCTCAAGCTATTTATTTTATTTTTTTAAGAAAAAAAGAGCTCAATAAAGGTATGCTTTTAAGATATTAAGTTGTATTTATACAATTATACCTTTTATATATGAAATATTAATTTTTGTTTGAGCATTAATTTGGCTCCATAAATTGTCTTTGGTCGATTTTTTTATTTTATTTTGATATACCAATCTTAATTATTTTTTTAAGACTAGTTTATTTTCCGTATCTTCAGAAGTTTTAACTTTTTGAGTAGTTATGAAATTAATCTTGAATCAAAGCTTAATTATAGTTAAAGTCCTTTGTCTCTCTCAAAAATATATTTTATGAAAATTAAACTCAGGTTAAATACACTCATTGACTGAGTCTCAAGTGGATTTTTGAACCCATGTATTGTAGACAAAGTCTATCAAAATGGAATAATGATAGTAAGATTTGAACCTATTATCTTGTATAAATTATTTGATCTTATTTGTAATTAACTGTTAGTGACTTTGAAATTGATTCATTTGATAAGAACCAAGTATTTTGTTATCTTGTGTTTAATTCATAATGCTGTCATATCAGTATTGGTGTACAATTAAGCAAGTAACATGTAAATCTTTGTTGAAATTCTAAACATGTACGTGCCTTTAAATCTGGTAAAGTGCTCTTTCCTCAACTGTATGTTAAAAAATAAAATAAAATAAAAATTCTAAACACGTTTATCTTGTGTTAATTAGGTGTGTTCGTCTTGAACATTTGGGTTCAAACTTTAAGCTCGCATATATGAGAATTGATTAATAGGTTATGCTACAATTAGCTCTCATTGAATACGCTTGGAGTCCCTATTTGTCTACTGTTTTACTTTCTATAAATTTACGCAATTTTTAAAAATGTAAAAACTATTTAAAATTATTTATTTCGAGCTCAATTTATTTGTTCGTTTATAAATAAAAGCGTCTCAATTACTAGATTAATTCAATCTCTAATACAATTAACAACATTATTTTGATTATCTAACCTGCTAATCCTAATTGTTTGTCAAATATTTTATAAAACCAATCATTTTCTAATATCACATTTTTTTAAGTTAATGACATATAGATTAAGAAGTATATTCATTTCACACATTCTGATCACGACATGTACTTTTTCTTTTTCTTTCTTTTAGTTTCTTCCATTCCATCAAAACCTATTAACATGTTCTTTCACTGTTAACGTTAAACTTTTCAAATTAATATTTGAATGCTCAGGCAAAAAAATTTATTTATTGCATTTTAATTAAATAATTATGCATTTATGACAGTTTGAGAAATAATTACAAATGTACTACACAATGTGACGCCACTTTTGGACGTCACATTGTGCACCCTATATAATCCCTCACCCCCTATGCACTCTTCACACCTCTTTTCTCACTTTTCATATATCTTCTCTTTAATTTAGTATTTGAATTTTATTTCTTATTCTATTTTAAAATGAGTTCACCGTCCTGATTCTGTTCGTGTTGTGTTATATTACAATGGTAGGAAGGTAGAAGGTCGACGAGGTGTCATGTTTGAAGGTGAAAAAAAGTCGACACGTATCCAAGGCAATGCAACCATTGGCGAACTGCATCAGAGAATTCGGCAAAAGTTAAGTCTACATTCGATGCAAAACACGATGAAGATGATGAATCAGCCATTACCCTCAACTATATCATATAAAACAACATTGAAATTAATCACATGTAATGCCCCATTTTATTTACAAATTAATTAAGCAATGCCATAATTTATTATCACAAAAATTAAGCATACAGTTATTTATTTTATTGGAATCAAAATTAATGAAATAATGTCAATACGTAGTACATTCATTTATTTGTAATTAAATAATAATAAAATATCGAACAAAAATAATATCATACTTACATAATACTTAACCCTAGGTCACTAATAACTTCATAAATATGTACTAATCAGCACACCTAACTGACTACAAAATTATGAGTACACTCCCGCATTAATAACATCATACATACAAAATTTACGAAGTCGCTATTACTATTTTCTAAATCATTAATTAATATGCTAAACCCTAATGCATAATTAAATATTAATAATAATAACTACGTAACAAAAAAAGGGAAGTATCATTACAACATTCATAGCATGATACAAAATTTCTAAGTGACTATCCTAATGTTCTAAGTCTCTAATATACGATCAATCCTAACATGTATTACTAACTAGCACTGTAATTTAAACGTATACATAGATAGGAGGTATTACGACCTTACCTAAGTTGGCAGAGTTTCGCTACGAACCGTGGTTAGAGAGAGGTAGAGAGAGGTGAATGAATGAGGAGTGAAATGCTGAAATGGGAGAATATATAGATACACCATGAGACGTCCTTTTTGGTCACATGTGACGCCTCCTTGGAGCATCTTCCCTTCATGAGAGACACCTCAGTGGGGCGTCACATGTGACGCCCAAAAGGGACGTCATTCCAAACAACAATAAATACGTAATTATTTAATTAAAATGCAATAATTAAATTTTTTTTACCTCATTTCATTGATCTGTTTTTCATTTTTATCTCATCATTTTGCTTTCTCTCTCTGTTTTTCTTTTCTTTTCAAAATTCCCTAGCATGTTTACCGTGTGCCATGTGGCAGCAAAAACACGCTAAAAATTTAAAAACTTAACGTTAATTGTCAAATAGCCTTGTAAATTGTAATATATGTTATCAAAAAGTTTTGAGTAAAGTACTCTTTTTTTAAAGGTCATATAACAATATTCACCAAAAAAAGAAAAGGTCATATCACAATAGTTAGGATTAGGATTAATTATATCTTATGAGGTATGATAAAATCCCTAGAAGAATTGTTTTTTTTTTTTTTTTTGTTATATGATCATATAATGCAAGAGGATACAAATGAATAATTATGATTTTATAATTTTATTTTAATATTTTTTTCTCTTTTCCTATTATTATTGATTCATTCTGTATGGTTAAGATTTTCGATATATTAACGTTAAATAACACATAAAAGAGGATCATCTCCCAAAGTTTTTGGCTTTTATATCTATTGTGTAATCATTTATAAATTTAATTATTTTGGAATAATTTATCAAGGCACACGTTATGATAATATGCATTTAAGTATAGCATCATTTTATACGCGATCTGTGTATCAATCGCGTATCACGCTCCGTAAAATGTACACAAAAGCATGCTTGAGACTTGAACATATAATTTTGCATTAGATTAATAAATTATTAGAAAAATATTTATTTTTTTAAATATATATAGTCGTATTATTTTAAATAAGAAAAAAATATAACTTAATAATTTTTTATTTAAAATTTAAATTTTTAAAAAAGCACTTATTTTCTTTCCCATAATTTTCATAAATCTATAAATTAATTATAAAAAGAATTAAACAAAATATATAATTTTCCTTTACGTGCATCAAAAAGCCAAAAAAAAAATGTTGGTAGAAGGGTAATTTCGACATAAAATGTGCTGTAATAATAATATTTTGGACTTTGGAGGAACATAGATATGTCGGAAGATCATCTTCTCCTTTCTACTTCTTACATTCCTTCCAACGATAACCATTACCACAATCTCTCACTCTCCTTCTCATTTTGATGCAACTTCATTACCTCTATAATGTCACTCATTTCTTTTCTTCTAACTGTAATTGTAACTATTTGTGCTGCTTCTTCTACTTCTTCCTTCACTCTCTCCTCAAATGACAACAACACCACCATTGTGATAAGAGGAGACACCACCATTCTAAGCGAAAACCGAACCTTCGAATTGGGTTTCTTCAACTTGAGTTCCAACCAACCTCACTGGTACCTTGCGATACGCTACGCTTCTCTTCCAACCCCAAACTTCGTCTGGGTCGCGAACCGCCACAAACCCATCACCAACCTCGCCGGTTCAACCCTCAAACTCACCCGAACCGGTCAGCTACTCCTCACTGACCCATCATCAAGTTCAATCCTTTGGCAAACCAACAACACCAACGACTCAAAGGGTGTTGATTTTGGTGTTGGTGTTGAGCTGAAGCTTCTTGAGAATGGGAACCTCGTTCTTCTCACCGGAAACGGCGACGTTTCGTGGCAAAGCTTCGATTACCCGACTGACACGTGGTTACCCGGAATGAACCTGACCCGGGTCCGATCCCTTGTTTCCTGGCGAACCGAAACGGACCCTTCCCCTGGTTTGTATTCCCTGCGGCTGAAACCACCGGATTACGGTGAGTTCGAGCTTGTCTTCAACGGCACCGTTTCGTATTGGTCAACCGGGAACTGGACAAACGGGTCGTTCCTCAACGTGCCGGAGATGACGATACCGTACATTTACCGGTTCGATTTCGAGGACCCGTTTTCTCCGACGGCGTCGTTTGGGTTCTCGGAGAGGCCGTTGGAGAGTGGGTTGAAGCCGCCGACGCTGTTCCGTGTGGAGCATTATGGGCAGGTTCGGCAGTACACGTGGGCGATGCAGGTAGGTTCGTGGAACATGTTCTGGTCCAAGCCTGATGGGGTTTGTCAGGTTCGGGGTTTGTGTGGTAGCTTCGGTGTCTGCAGTGGCGAAATCTCGAGGCTTTGTGAGTGTGTCCGTGGTTTTGAGCCTGTGGATGGTGATGGGTGGGGTTCTGGTGATTACTCCTTAGGTTGTCACCGTGAAGATGATGGAACCTGTGATGAAAGTGATGGTTTTGAAGATCTGGGTGTTGTTGGGTTTGAAGGTGGTAATTTTAGTTCTTTTAGAGCCAAGTCTAGAAGCTTTTGTGAGCGTAAATGTTTGGATTCTTGTGCTTGTGTTGGTTTGGATTTTGATGAAGGGAGTGGTTTTTGCAAGAATTTTTATGGGTCTCCTTTGGATTTTCAAAATTTAACTGCTTTTGGGGGATCTGGTGGTGGTGGTGGTGGTGGTGGGGTGCTTTTTGTTAGGGTTCCAAGAGTGGGGTCTGTGAAGAAGGGGTTTAGTAGTAAGGCTTTGAGTGCTGCTGTTATTGGGTCAGTTGCAGTTTTGGGTGTGGTGGTGATGGTGACATGGTTGGTGTTGCTCAAGAGGAGGCTGAAGAAGAAGGGGATGGAGGGAGATGGGTTTGTTCCTGTGTTGAATTTGCAGTTGTTTTCTTACAAGGAGCTTCAGTTGGCGACTCGAGGGTTTTCGGAGAAAGTTGGACATGGTGGGTTTGGGACGGTGTTTCAAGGGGAGTTGAGTGATTCTACACTTGTTGCTGTGAAGCGTTTGGAGAGGCCAGGGGGTGGAGAGAAAGAGTTCAGGGCTGAGGTTTCCACAATTGGGAATATTCAGCATGTTAATCTTGTGAGGCTCAGAGGGTTTTGTTCTGAGAATTCTCATAGGCTTTTGGTTTATGAGTTCATGCAGAATGGTGCCCTGAGTGCTTATCTGCGCAAAGAAGGGCCAACTTTGAGCTGGGATGTTAGGTTCCAGGTAGCAATTGGAACGGCCAAAGGGATAGCATATTTACATGAGGAATGTAGATGCTGCATTATCCACTGTGATATCAAACCTGAAAACATCCTTTTGGATAATGATTTCACTGCAAAAGTTTCCGATTTTGGATTAGCCAAGCTCATTGGCAGGGACTTCAGTAGGGTGTTGGCGACCATGAGGGGTACTTGGGGATATGTAGCTCCGGAGTGGATTTCTGGTGTGACAATTACCACCAAAGCTGATGTTTACAGCTACGGAATGACATTGCTAGAACTACTCAGTGGTCGTCGGAATGTGGAGGCACCGCCATCTGATGGTGGTAGAGAGAGTGGTTGTGAGACGGGAGAGAAGTGGTTCTTTCCTCCATGGGCTGCACAGCAGATAATAGAGGGTAATGTAACTGCTGTGATTGATAAGAAGCTTGTAAATGTATATAACATTGAGGAGGTTAGGAGGGCTGCTTTGGTGGCAGTTTGGTGCATTCAGGATGATGAGGCAATGAGACCTACTATGGGTATGGTGGTGAAAATGTTAGAGGGGCTAGTGGAGGTGACTATTCCTCCACCACCTAAGTTGCTACAAGCATTGGTTACTGGGGAGTCATTTCATGGGGTCAAGGTTGATTCTGGAAATGGGGTATCCACTGGTTGTAGCTTATCTGGTGGCAACTTGGAAGTGTCAACTGCTGATTCAGAATCATGTATAGGGGATGTTTTTTCCCCATTGGATGTCAATGTCAATGTCAATGTTCGATGACAAAGTTCTGGTATTAGTCCAGATTATAGCATTGTTAATTTAGTATACCTCATCTCTCCCTTCCCTCCCTTTTTTTTTCTCTCTAAGGAGAGGGATGGAAAAACAAAGAAAAAGAACATTGGATGTGGATGTAAATTAGTTGCCTTTGCTGGACAGCTTTTGGTTGTTTGAAATTAGGATGTTGAAACTTGAAAGAGTGGATTTCCCTGCTTCAAATTTCAAATTTTGTTCTTTCTAGTGAAATGAAACATTTTTATATTTCTTGTGCATTTGATCACTTTTAAGCATACTTTATGTTTAACATGTAACATAGTTATGACGAAACCAACCATCATGATTCAATTTTGATCCTACCTAACTGATGAAAACAGAAATATTTGAACATGTAATTGAAGAGGTTATGATATTATGGCAAAAGATCGTTTCACTTAGTAAATCATGCTAACCTAAAAGCTAGAAATTATAAAATTTTCCATATCTTTTTGCAGCTTTATTAAGTTGCGTGCTACAGCATGGAATTTTGCAATAGCATAAGCTTGACTTATTGCAAGATTTGCAATAAGTTGTATGCTGTTGCAAGTTATGTGGTCTTTGGCAAACTATGCTAGTAATTATCCAGAACTTGTTTTTGTTGTTTCAAGTTGTCATTGGTGTTATTCCTTCGTTGAATATAACTTTCATTTCTTATCATCTTTTCTGAATTAATAGCTACTTCACTCACTGCTGGATTGATATTATTAGTTTTGAACCTGGAGGAATCCTCATCTATCACTTTCCTGCACCCTCGTCTTGTGAAATGGTCTTTGGATGTTCATCATAAGCGGATTCCAAATCTGGCAAAGAAACAATTAGTGTTACTAGTTTTGAAACTTGGATTACATGAGGTTCTTGAAGAATTAAAATGCAAAGTTCAAGATAATTTTGCCCTATATCTCCAAGGAGGCCATAAAACCAAAACATACGAATCTCATGTACTAATGGCAGAAGATGATTAACAAGGAGCATTGGATTTGTTTACTGTGCTTTTTTGGTGATGGATCACCAGATCTAAGGGTTAAAGAAGGAAAAACAGGAGTGGAGAAAAAAAAATGCAATTCTAGCTAGATGTAGAGTAGTGGTTATTGCAGGCTGTATCTAGGTTCAGTAACCCCTGCACATTTAAAGTGCATGTATGTATTGTCTTATTTAATTTAAAAATGCTTATAATCAAAATGCTAGAGCTTTTGGCTAAAATTTCTTCCTGCAAATCAAAATGTTATTCAATCTTAAGTTAATGAAAATAAAATTTTCATCTATCTCTAATTGGTTTAAGTGATTTTCTTCTAAGCTAGCTTTCACTACTGCTGGTAAATTTCCTGCATGTATTCTCTCAGGCTAGAACGGGGAGATAATATTTTTTGTTAAAAACCCACTTGGGAAAAAGAATAAGGGTTTTGCTAATGAATATTTTAAGGATACTTGATCAGGAATCGAATAAAAAATAAATTAATGAATACATTGAAAATTCAAAATGTTTTACTTTTTATATATTTTTTATGACTTCATTTTTTCTGCAGTTAGTGCAGATAAATTATCTGCAGTAAGTCCAATACGACGTCGTTTTAGGGCAGAAATCATGGTGTTTTTGTAATTTTAATTCATTTCAGGGTTATTATAGTCTTTATAATTATTTTTTAATATTTTAATCCCAAAACGACGTCGTTTTGGAAGTAAATACAGATAACTTATCTGCAATAATGCAGAAATATTTTTCTGATTTTTTATTCCCCAAATATAAAAGACCCCTTAACATTTACTTCTCTCTTTTCTCCTACATGAATTATGTTGGAAAATAGATATATCATGTTGTAGGAAATTGGTTGTGTCATGCTATAGACACAATCAATGTAGACCCTACCAACATTGATTGTGTCTATAACATGACACAACTAATTTCCTACAACATAATATATCCATTTCCCAATTATGTTTGTAGTTCTAGTTTAACTGATTCATTCAAACACTGAAACCCACATAGGTTTTACAAAATAAATAAATAAATAGGCACACAAAGCACGAAGAGGAAATCCGGTTAAGTTAGGCTTTGCCTTAGGTTAGCCGAACTTAATATATATTATCTAATATAGTCTCTCTCTTTTTTGACGTTAGTAGTCTCATTTCCATAAGATTTTACCGGAATAATTTTTTGGTCAAACGTACTATCTATATAATGCATAACGACGCGGTACTGTAAGAATCACTTTAGGACGTGACACTTTAGCAACCGCGTTCTTTGCATTTGTTCCTGACCACTGGAACGTGATACTTTGACAATTACGTCCTATTCCCAAGACGCGAGGGAGTCGCGTGTTAGTCCGTCCCATCCCAAAAAGAATTCAACATGAAGCGATAATATATAAGCCGCGTTCCAAGTTACAAGTCAGTTGGAGCCAAACAGATATATATGTTTCACCTAAAATTTAGGCATATTGATATATTCACTGTAAAAGAATTCAAAAAATCCAATAAAAGCAACAAGTTATTTTCGCACAAACTGGTCTTTACAGTTGCTAGCAATTTATTCTTTACTGGTTAGAAGACTAACTCTTAATCCATAGAATAATTTTATTATTAGTAAATTTCTGAATTAATTATTCTCTGGTTTAAGAGTTAGTCTTCTAAACAGTAAAGAATAAATTGCTAGCAACTTTAAAGACCATTTTGTACAAAAATAACTTGTTGCTTTTATTGATTTGTTTGAACTCTTTTACCGTGAATATATCAATATGCCTAAATTTTAGGTGAAACATATATATCTGTTTGGCTCTGACTTGACTTGTAACTTAGAACGCGGCTTATACACTACCGCTTCCTGTTGAATTCTTTTTGGGTTGGGACGGACTGACACGCGGCTGAGAGGGTACCGCGTCTTGGGAATAGAATGTGATTGCCTGGGTATCACGTTCCAGTGGTCAGCAAAGAGCACGGTTGCTAAAGTGTCACGTCCTAAAGTGATTCTTACAGTACCGCGTCGTTATGCATTATATAGGTAATACATTTGACCAAGAAATTATTCCAGTAAAACCATATGAAAATGAGATTACTAAGGTCAAAAAACCCTCTTTTTTTATACCCTAGTTTTGTTCTTTTTAATACTTTAAACAAAGGATTATATTTATCTCATGTTACATAAAAAAAGTCAATTTCCTACACACACAAAAGAGAGATAGGTCTCACCTCTATTTTTTCTCTCTTCTCTTACCTGTGGATCCCACTTATAATTTTATTTCTACTACATGAGAGATTTTTTTCTACAACATAAGAAAACTATTTTCCTTAAACAAATCATCAAGCTGATCAACTGGTACAAAGTTATTTCAGCTTAGTAATTTTGAAGTCAAGTTTTGGATATGTAGCTATATGAAAAATTTGATAAGAAGAGTTTTGTTTCCTTTATAGACTTATCCGATTCAATCAAATTAATCGAGTAATTGATAAATTGATAAAGAAATTATCGTCAATGTATGTGAAAATTTATATAATAAGGCGTACTTATGAATTACGGTCAAACTTAGCTTTAGCTTTCAAAACATATAATGAAAAATATCTCAGACTTACAAGTGAAAATAGATTTTACTAAAAATCTTTAACCTATAACTTGTTTGTTAAAGTCAGGATAAGACAAACTTAAAACAAACCATATTGTCGGCCATTCACACCTGTGATGAGGAGGCCCGAGAAAGACATAAGTCCACATTTATCCATGGCACTACTTCCTTGGAGATAGCAGAGCTCCACCATGCTTATGCATTTTATAGAATAAACTTTTTTAGATACAATATAAAATTATGGAAAATCATCTTCTCCTGTTGGAGAAGAAAAGTTTCTGCAGATCCTTCGAAATATGTATTATACTTTATTTTTTTAAAAAGAGAGAGTAGAATTTATTATAACTTTTGAGTCTATAGCATGAAATCTCTCCCTTTCCTACAACAAGAGAGGTTTAAAGCTCTAAAATTATTTGAGTCATTATCTAATAATTTAAAACATTTGATTTGATATCTTAAGCTTTGGGAAAAATTTAATTCATGATATTATATCTCTGATTAAGTAGTCTAAAGTTTAGTCTTTGCTGGTTCATGACAAAACTAATGTTGTAGAATACTCTGGAAATGAATAGCTATGGATATATAAAATATATGCTCTAAAGTAAGTCAAGTAACATTAAAAAATAAAATAAGGGTATGGGATAAATTGCAAGCCCGATTTTGCAATTATGGAATCAATTCCTTTACGAATATCTTTGTTGGCCATGTTCGATGTGTAGAGAGCTGTCTGCACTCTCTAGCTGCAATTTCTGTCATTTCTATTTTCTCTTTCGGCTTCTTTATTACTTCTGTCAACTTTTGGAGTTCTTTTTCCCCAGACTTTCTACTTATATAATAAGGGTAAGGATATTGTAACAATTAATTAGTGTTATTATCAATATTACTACTAATCAATTTCACTGTTAAATCGGTCATGTGGATCTAACGGTTATATTTATTTCTATTTTTGTACGGTTATAATTCTCCAAATTTAATTACTTTATATAAAGATACTGTAACAATCAATTAGTGTTACTACCAATGTTACTACTAATCAATTTCACCGTTAGATCGATTATGTTAATCCAACGGTTATATTTATTTCCATTTTTGTGTGATTATGATTCCCTATATTTAATTACTTTATATTTATTTTAATCTTTTTATGGTTATGATTTCTCATATTTAATGCTTTCACATTAAATATAGTGAATCATGACCATACAAAGATGGAAATAAATATAACCGTTGAATCAACATAATCGATCTATCGGAGAGATTAATTGATAGTAATATTAGTAGTAATACTAATTTGTTGTTACAATATCCTACTCCATATAATAATGGATGGTGTAATATTTTTGTTTTTGTCGGATAATTTTTTCTTCTGCCACCATGATAAATAAAAAACAGAAAAAAATTAATAAGAGTCTCTCACTTTTGTGTAAATATAACAAATAAAAATATTTTTTCCATACATATAATTTCTTTTCCTTTTTTTTCAACTGCCAACTTACGTATTCCCTCAAAAGGATTTGGGTTTTCATATTTTCCAAAAACATCACCAATTAAACCATTAAAATTCTATTATTTTATTAAAAATAATTAAAATTTTCAAGAAATAAAAGGGGCTCATA